GATCTTTCAAGTTGTAATTAAATTAAAAAGAGGCCATTCGAGTAACCCTAATCCACTAATGACTGTTGTTCTTAATAACTAGAGGATGTTTGGACACACGCATGGATGGAGTGAAGATGATGTGAAGATGAAGGGAGAAGATGACCACTTAGAGGCCATGGAGAGAGGCTGAGAGCAGATCCCTCCCTCACAGCCCTCAAAAGGGACCGACCCTGCCCACATCTTGCTCTCAGACTTCCAGGCTCCGAAACTGGGAGACGGTACGTGGGTGTCGTGGGTGTCGTTGCAGCCTCCCGGTCTGTGGTGTTTTGTTACAGGGCCCCTAACAAACGAAAACACGTGCAGTAAAACTCACCCATTTGCCTGTAGTAAATTAACAGAGTTCTGCAATCTAATTCTAGAACATTTTCTTCGCTCCTGGAAACCTTGCTGCCATGTGCATTCATTCCCCCTTCCCACCCCAGCCCCAGAAGACCACTGATTGTCTGTCTGTCTGACTTGTCCCTTCTGGTCATATACGTCATCTCCAATGATTAGGACATCTCCCATGCCAGGAGTCCACACTTCCCTTATCCAGGTTTTCTATCTGTTGAAACATCTTACACTGAGTTGGCACGAATGGCTCTATAACTTGCGCACGGTAACGTTCCTGTTATAGTTCATCTGTAACGTAAGCAAGACAAAAAATATCACATGTTCTGCAGAAGAGTTGGAATGGAATTGAAATATTCAGTCAAAATGACCATCATGATCATACATCACAAAAATAGGGCTTGTTTTTAGCAGTCGATGAGGAAAAAAAAACAGACGCTGAGGGAAAAATGCTCTCTTGAGGTTGGGGAGCAAAGAGAGAGCCCAAGATGGGCTGCTGCCAAGACCTGGATGGACACGCTACTCCGCAGAGCCACTCAGGCCCATCTGGGAGCCGAGGGGGCTGTCGCCCAGGCCTACACGCGCGGGGCCAGGCCTACATGCGCTGCCCCCCGCGGCCCAGACACAGGCCTTTGTGCAGCACCCCCATGCTGGAAAGATCGGCTGGGATGAAATCCATCTAGGCCATTAAGTGGAAACCACATACATGGAGAAGTCTTTGCTTTTCTCGCCTAGAGGAGTTGGCCCTTCTGCTCACCCTACCAACCCACAGTAACAACTGAAACTACGTGGTAGGTGCACATCTGGGTGCCTATGAAACCGTTTATCCAAGACTATTTATTAAGTGCCTTCTGTGTGCCAGGTACCTTTCTAAGGGAATATGTCCATGAGCATAGGGCCCTGTGCAGGTGGCGCTGGCATTCTAGAGGACAAAGTTGGAAAATAAACACTGAACGTAGTAATAAGAAGTTAATGAAAGTGTGAAGTTGAAAGGTGTCAAGGTAAAAAGAGATTAAAGCGAGGGAAAAGGATTGGGAGCAGGAGGGGTGAGCATGGACAGGGTCGCAACTTTGTTTTTAAATTATTTTTCAAGCCCCTTGACCCATGTGTGATTGATATACAAAAAGCTGGACGTATTAGATACCAACCTGATGAGTCTGGAGATGCATGTACGTCACCACTCTGTGTGCCTTAAACAGATCCATCACCTCCCAAAGTGGCCTCCTGCCCTCTTTATTAGTCTTTGCTTTTGTCATGAGGTCGCAATTTTAAATAGGGTCATCTACGCAGACCTTATTGAGAAGGTGGTATTAGAGCAAGACAGAAAGGAGGGGATGGAGTTGGTTAGTAATTAGCTCTGGAAAACTCAGTGTGGGCAGCAGGAACAGCCAGAGTACACTCTCCTAGCACAAGCGATTCTTGGCATGTTCAAGGAGCACCGAGAGGCCACCGTGGCTGAAACCGAGTGATCAAGGGAGGAGCAGCCAGAGGTGAGGGACTCCAGCTTGTACAAGGACTCCAGCTGTTATTCCAGGTGAGATGGGAAACCAGAAGAGCAGTGTGATCGGACTTAAGTTGGGAAAGATCCCGGTGGATGGACCGGAGGAGAGCGAAGAGACGCTTTTAGGAGCCTCAGTTAGGCGCCTATTTCAGAATCCAGGTAAGACATGATGGTGGTTGAGGTCAGGGGCAGTGGACACGCTATGTTTGCACAACTGGAGGTTCATTTATCCAGCAAATATTCATAGGCCCCGGGATCTGCGCTGGGATGCTGTGGCGACCAGCCTGGTGACAGTCCCTCCCCGGTTACTGCAGACGATGGTAACAGTTAACACAGAGAGGGGGCTTGCTGCAAGTCAGGTTGGCTTTAAAAGGTTACAGGGTATTTTCTCAGTGAGCCTGGAGCTCCTCGTGAAACTCAGGTCCGCTCTTGTTCCCATTAAAGGCCAGGAATGTCCAGGCCTGAGGGTGCTGGTGAGTAGCACAACAGGCAAAGGCAAAGGTCCAGCGCGGCGGGTTGTGTTCCAGAATGCCGCCCTTAAAGGGGGCAGCTGCGACACGGCTCTACTAGGATGATATGGGAGGGAGGGAGGACACCGAAGCTGAGGTTTAACGGTTTGCCAGGGTAAGGGTGGGTGTAGGGAGAGGAGAAGGCAGGGGAGTGTTCCAGGTACAGGGAAGATCATGTACAAAGACAGATCTAGAAGTGAGAGAGCAGGGCCTTGGAAGGGCTAAAAAAAAAAAAAAAAACCCAACATGTTGTTGGATCCCCAAATGCATGAGGAACAGGATATAGAACAAATCAGAAAAACAGGCAGGGAACACAACTTTGGGTTAATACCTTTAGGGGTCAATAATCCACTAATTACATATTCGTCTTTAATATTTTCTTCCCGGGATCTCACGTTGCAAATATATTAATTGAAAGGGAGAGGATCTGGGAGTCAGAGAGCAACGGCAGCCCAAAAAGCAGCTTGCCGTGGGGAGGCTAAGGGCCCCAGGCCCCCCTCTCCCCTCCGTCTAACCCAAATAAATGTACTAAGTAAAGCAACGAGCTAGTCATGCAAATACAGCTTCGGGAAAAGTCCTCTGCCTGCATTTCCATCTGACCCTTTCGGAGCCCCTGGTACAGACAAGCCTACCCCAAGGAACCCTGCTCGACCTTTTATCAGCTTTAACATGAGTGATTTCACATCAGTAAGCTTCGTTGTATCTATTCTATGAAACTGACATAATAGGGACGCCTGGGTGGCTCAGTGGTTGAGCGTCTGCCTTTGGCTCAGGGTGTGATCCCAGAGTCCTGGGATCGAGTCCCGCATCAGGCTCCCTGCATGGAGCCTGCTTCTCCCTCTGCCTGTGTCTCTGCCTCTCTCTATATATATATCTCTCATGAATAAATAAATAAAATCTTTAAAAAAAACCTGACATAATATTACCCATCTCGGGATTATCATCACTCTGAGCTCATGCATACAGATTGCATGTTTGACGCTTCTGTTCATTTGTAAAGTTCACATATCTAAATAACAATTCCACTTTTTTGTTTTTTAAGATTTTATTTATTTATTCCTGAGAGACGCAGAGGGAGAGAAGCAGAGATACAGGCAGAGGGAGAAGCAGGCTCCCTGCAGGGAGCCCGATGCGGGACTCGATCCCGGGACTGCGGGGTCACCTTGAGCCGAAGGTAGAGGCTCAACCACTGGGCCTCCCCGGTGCCCCCCAATTCCCCATTCTGATACAGAGTGAGTTTTGATTATCTCACAAATTGGGTAAATGACTTAGCCTTAAGTGATACAGGAATAAATGTTTAAGTTCCACAAATTCTACCCACTTTAGTCCAGAACTTTCTATGTATTTCAAAGTAAGATGAGAATTTCTTGGCATGCGATGTCTAGAAGTAGGGGGATGCACTGATTTGTCAAGCAGAGAATCCCTGGGACTCCAGGGTAGGAGCTGGTCGAGCCCCCTGAAAAGTGCCCAGACTTTGTAACCAGACTAATGTGGGACAAACTGGGGCGCCGTGGTTGACTGTCCATCAGCGGCATCGGGAGTGCATCCTCACTGCCGTGCCCCTACATGGTTTCTTTCTTGGGAGAAATGTTGCCATCAGTTGTTTCCTGAGACATCGAAACTTGGCGAGGAAGAAAGTCTTCCACAAGCCAGTGCAGTCATCAGGAGGCCACAGCTCTGGGAAATCCCACCCAGATTCTCGTGGGACGCGGCCAGACTTCTGCAGAGAGCATAAGCAGGGCGATGGGGAGGCCCCATGCATGGGGAGCAGTGAACCCTCCAACTTGCTCCCCCACTTGGCCTTTGTACCCCTCTGTTCTAGTATTTCTTTCTTCTTCTTTTTTAAAGATTCCTTTGTCCATGAGGGAGACAGAGAGAGAGCAGGGAGGGGCAGAGGGAGAGGGAGAGAGAAATGTCAGCAGACCCCTCAGTGAGGTGGGAGCCTGACGCAGGGCTCGTCCCACGGCCCCGGGATCCTGAGCTGAGCTGAAACCGAGGGTCAGACGCTCAACCGGCTCCGCCACCCGGGGCCCCTCTAGTGTTTCTAACTTAAGCTGTCAAGCAGGCCGAGGTCCAGTGTCCTCGGTGGCTCCAAATCAATATTTAGTCTCACGACAGCATTTGGGGTTGGTCGTGGGCCCGCAGACAGTAACAGTATCAAAGCAAGTATGGTCCCTGCAATGGGAGGGCGTGCGCCCGGCGCTTGGCCCGTGTGCAGAAGCCGAGTGGCTGTGGGGTGGGGACCTGGGGCAAGAGTCGCGTGGGGGAGGGCCCCCTCAGGCACAGGCGCTGGGCAGGCCGGCGGCGGGGCTCCCCGGGGCCCAGGCCCACGCAGCAGCACCCCAGGGTCCCGTGCGCCGCCTGGAGGTGGCCTCTCGCAGTCCGGAGGGTCCCCGTGAGGATGGAGAAGCCTTGAAGAACACTTTTGGGAGTCAGGTCACATGTGTTCTCTAGCTGTCGTCGTCCGTCGGCCTGGGCCTCAGCACGCGGCGGGCGCCGGGCCGCCGTTGGCCTCGCCTCTGGCTGGCAGCACAGAGAAGCTCTCCCGAGTTGGTTGTTTTTTTTTTTAAGATTTATTTATTTATTATTCATAGAGACACGGGGGGGGTGGGCAGAGACGAAGGCCGAGGGAGCAGCAGGCCCCCCGCAGGGAGCCCGACGCAGCCTCGATCCCGGGACCCGGGTCGGCCTGGGCCCAAGGCGGTGCTGAGCCGCTGCAGCTTGCGGGCGAGTTGCGGGCGCCGCGGGCCCAGAGCCTGGCCGGGGCGGGAGGGCGAAGGTCAGGCCGGGCCGGGCGTGGAGGCCCCGCGGCCGTGACGCCGAGACTGGCAGGAGGCGGCTCACAGGGCCCGGGCGGCGTCTGGGCCTGAGCCCCCCCCCATCCAGGGCCGCCCCTTCCCTCCGACACGGTGCCGAGGGCCAGGGCCACCTGGCAGGGCAGGGGGCCAGGGCGCTGCCGAGCCCATGGCAAGGGGTGGCCGTGCCCGGAGGCCGACCCCCGCGACAGAACCCCGCTTCCCCAGCCCGGCCGCAGCGCGCTCCCTCCAGCCCGAGCCACCTGGGACCTGCCTCAGGATGAGGGGATGGTCACCTTGTGGGTCACCTTGGGTCACCTTGTGGGTCACCGTCCCCGTGGGGGGGGGTGGCATGAGCTGTGGGGTCTCTGTGGGGCAGCAGCCCCCGGGGAGGGCTGCGGGCCTCGTGTGACAGGGCCTGGTGGCTGGCCGCCCCCCGCAAGGCGCGACCCCGGATTGTCACAATAGGAAGGAAAGGCCATGACAGCCTTTGAAGCCACATGTCTCTTTAAAAAAACCAGTCATATTTAACGTTTCTGGCTTTTTTTGTTGTTTATCTCAGTCAAATAAAGCTGCGTGTTCTAGTGAAGAAGCCAAAGGTCAAAGGCCAAAGACGGCGTCCGGCAACCGCATGGCATCAGGGAGGCCCGTGGCGCCGTGACTCCAGCCGCGGCAGGTGGCAGTGCTGTTTGAGGCGTGTCCAGGGCACGGAAGGGCCCCAAACCCGAGTCGGTCCGGGACGGCAGGTAGCGTGCTTGCGATTTGGAGAAGGCACTTTTGACCAGTGCCCTGGCCTGGCCTCCATCCTGATCGCCAGCCCTCCACCCCTCCTGTTGAATGTCAGTAATGAATAACGCTAGCCCAAAACATTTACCTGTCAACAGGGTATGTTCTGGAGAGAGTCAACTCCCAAGAATTAAGGGGACATCAGCTAGTTTCCCCCACTGGTAAAGTCCATCCTTATGTGGGAGTCGACACTCGCTTATTTGTTTCACACCAAACTAAAACCCACGTAACCTGGACACATTTGGGCTCATCCCTCAGCCTGGCCACTCGACCACTGTCATCACCGCCAGTAAATTTGACGTACAGTTGACTTACACCGCACTCCTGGCATTTCTCCTGCCCCCCTCCGTCCTTTCTTCCTTTAGTGCCCAATTCAAGTGCTGCATCCGCTGAGCCGTCGCTTTCCTATTCCCAGTCGTCCCTCCATGAATGAACTCTTCCCCCACTTGGCATATTCCTCCGCTGCTCCTCCTACTTCACAGCCACGAGTTCATGTGTCATCCTCGCCTGCTCCAGGGAGCACCCCATCAGGGCAGGGGCTGTGCCTCATCCGTCTGCGGGCGCCAGCATACGAGGCTTGTCCAGATGCTTGTCGGTTGCAAGGATGCCATGTGCTGGGCACTCTGCTGGAGCAAAAGATGGAGAAGGAGTCAGTCCCTTTTCTCAGGGAGCGTACAACGCAGTGGGCCAGAGAAGACCTGGCCATAAATACAAGATTACGTGTCACAGGTGGCATTAGCAGCGAGATATCTGAGATGGAACTCAAAGGATGTTGGGAGGACCTTCCAGACAATAGACCTGCGTCTGCAAGGGGAGAGAGCACGAGTTGTCTAAGTTGCCTGGTGCATTTCAGGTTGTCCAGGTGACATTCGGAAGGTGTCAGGAAATGATGGGAGGTCGGGTTGGAAGCCTTCAGATGGCTGAAGGTCCTAAGTTTGGGATTTTCTTCTTCCAATGATAGAGGACTACTAAAAGTCCCTGAAGCAGCGAGAATGGTGTGGGAGGGTGGACTGTCATTGTTTTGAGGCTTCAGTATGACTGGGTTGCTGAGAAGAATGTGGACAGGAATCTTGACCGATTTTAGGTCTCATTCTTTTAGCTACTGAATGTAGCGTAGTAGAAAGACATTATCAGAGCATTGGTTTAGGAGGAAGATTATGTCAAGGTGCAAACAATGAGATCTGGATGAGGGGAAGGAGCTCAGTGAGGCCAGTTGGGAGGCCAGGGGTTTTGAGGGCCTAAAGAAATGCCTTAGAGGTCAAAGAAAGGAGTAAATTGATTTGCAGCCTGGGCCACTGTGAGAACGCCATCAACAGTTAGCCGGTCAAGAGGGACCTGTTTTGGTCAGGGGGAGGAGGCCAGAGGCAACACGACAAATTGCATTTCAGATGTATTCAGCCTCGAGGTGCTGGAAGCACATCCTGGAGGGTATTTCCAGCAGATCATGGGAGATGTGTGAAAAGGGCAGGAGGAAGACAGGAAGATACATTTAGAGCCAGAGAAATCTGGAAGCTCTTCACGTGAAGGGATGAGTGGCGAAAGCCACATGACTCAGTGAGTCCATGGAGGTGAGTGGGGTCTTAGATAGAAAATTCCAGGGAAAGGTCTCATTTAGGGGCAGGAGGAAAATAGCCTGCAAAACCCTCCAGTATTAGGGATCTAAGAGAACAGGAAGGTAAGGGGCTAAGGAAGCCAAGCTGGGTGTGGTTTCTAGAGTGGCGATAGATGCAGAGAGTTCACTCACAATGAGGAGGGAGGAAGCACCCGTGGACCTGATAGTTGGAAAATTATTGGCAACTCTCAAGAGGGCACCTCCAGGTGAAAGATAGGAAGAAAACCAAAAGTCTAGCAGGGTATTGTAACCCCAAGTGTTTATAAGGACCAGAGAGGGAACAGAAGTAAGCAAAGAGATACGATGACCTGGTGACCACATGTCCCACCCGAGGTAGTGGCCATGCCCAGACCATTGCTGCCGTGGGGAAAGGGTGGCCCGGGACAGCCAGCTATCTGACCTTCAGAGAGAAAACTGAAATTCTTATATTTAAGTGGAATTTTTCTGATCTTAATAATATTGTGAGAATCAAATGAAGCACGTCTCTATGGTGTACCTGGTATTTGAGTCACCAGTACTAGCACCCTCCACTAGGTTTGATGAGAGGAGAGCAATCTTCTGAGATATAACCAGTCTGCTCGGTGTTTTTCTTTTTCTTTTTTTAAGATTTTATTTATTCATTCATGAGAGACCCAGGGAGAGAGGCAGAGACACAGGCAGAGGGAGAAGCAGGCTCCATGCAGGGAGCCCGACGTGGGACTCGATCCCCGGTCTCCAGGATCAGGCCCTGGGCCGAAGGCGGACACTCAACCGCTGAGCCACCCCGGCGTCCCTAAGGTGCCCTGTGCTAAGCCCTGGGTGAGGTATGGGTTGTTAGATCACTACGGCGGCACCCGGAACTGCTATAGCACTCTGTGCTAACAACACTGGAATTAAAATAAAAACTTAATAAAGAAAAAGAAATTGCAGTCGCTACGAAGGCAATGGTGAAAGTCAGAAGAGACACTACATCCAAGACATTAGAGGCAACGGCAGGCGTGGTGCAGTCTGGGATTCCAGCTAATTCCCTGCGTCTGAAACGGAGTGCCCTTGGCAGAGAGGGTGAAATGGAAGAGTTAACATGAAGAAACACGAATGCTCATGGGACTGGGACTTGCCCTACGGACAAGGAAAACCCATAGAAAGGGTTCAAGCCTGGCAGTGACCTCATCAGTTTGTTAGAAAGAACACACGGACTAGAACCAAGAGGGTGGAGGAGGAGGCCCGATTTGCTGGGCAGTTACGTACCCAGCCACAGACGACTCGTCTCCGCTGAGTGGAGTTAATGGCAACAATCTTAATCTGTTTATCCACTGATTGATCCAGGGCTGGGACGTGCGGCCCACTTCAGGGTCCTGGGGTAGAAGAGGCTGTGCCCGTAGCCTCTGGGAGAGTAGGCTTTGGTCAGTCAGCAGTACCTGAGAGGAGGGCCATCCTTGTCCCCTTTCTTCCTGTCCTTCTGAACGTCCTGGGAAGCTGCAGGAATCGTTTGGAGGTTATGAGGCAAGGAGTCTAAGGCTGAAGGCAACAGGTTGAAGGTGGAAGAACCCAAGGCAGACCCTGGGCTCTTGGTGTTGGAAGAGCTCGTCGAGAGGATGTGACCCCCGGCTAGCCCACGCACCAGGGCCACGCGGTCAGGGCTTCTCGCCGTCTTCCCCGTCCTTGGAGCATACCTTTGTGCTCGCCATTCCAAGGGCACGACTCGAGAAAGTAATGTGGTGTTGAGACCACCTGTGGACCATGTAGAAATGACTTACGTAAATAAATTAATTAAGGGATCCCTGGGTGGCGCAGCGGTTTGGCGCCTGCCTTTGGCCCAGGGCGCGATCCTGGAGACCCGGGATCGAATCCCACGTCGGGCTCCCGGTGCATGGAGCCTGCTTCTCCCTCTGCCTGTGTCTCTGCCTCTCTCTCTCTCTCTCTCTCTCTCTCACTGTGTGCCTATCATAAATAAATAAAAATTAAAAAAAAGAATACTCACTATTTAAAAAATAAATAAATTAATTAATTAATTAAAAGAAAAATCAAGTCCCGGTGTCTTGGCATTATATGAAGCTATAGTTAATCACGACGCCAAGGGTCTTGTTTTCTTCATCTGTGTGCCCCTGGCACAAAGGCTGGCAAATAGAAGATGCTCAAGAAATGTGTTGGAAGCGGAACTTTGAGGTACAGGCTTTAAATACCAGTAGAGAGTCCTGGCCCTCTTTCCTATGTTTCCCCGGATTTGCCTTACTGACCTCACGCCGCTCACTGGCATGGAGCCCTGACGGTGCTTACGTCCCCGCGTGGGAGCGTCCTAGGCACGGCCTCCATCAACCCAGCAAGAGCGTCCAGCCAGCCCACCCTGACCCTGGAGCCCCGACTGCTCCCACCACCTCCAGGTGCAGGGTAACGCTGGGCCTCACACAGGCTCTGGCTCCCCAGGGGCTGCCCAGCAGGGCCTTGGGGTACGTGGCCCAGGACTGCAAGGGGCTCCTCACCCCGTCGGGTCCACTCTGACCAAAGAAAGCCAGGAGGTGAAGAGGAGCCGGGACATTAACCCTTCTCCCTTCCTCCCTGATGGAGCACCCTGGGCGCCAGGATCGCACATGGCACAACCAGCAACTCACCACGATTCTCATGGAGCCGTAGCCAATCCCCTGATGTACCCACTTTGTAGGTCTTGTTCCTCCGTCCCTGACTCTCTGCTCACTCCTCCTGCTCCGGGATTTCATCTCCTTCTTTCTGGTTGTATTAGCATATACCCTTGCCTCAACTGTTGTTTTTTAGCCTAAGACAAAGATTCTATTATTCACTATAATTTTCATATCGCGTCTCTAAACCATACTGTGAATGCCACCTCGGTGGATCCTCCTGCACACCCAGGCAGCCAGGGGCGCCAAACAGCACAGGAGTCTTAAAACCCCTTTTTAAGGAAACATTATCCGTGAGAGGCATTTCTTAAAAATTAGTCTGTCCATTTTGTAGACATTCTTTTTTTTTTTTTTAAGACATTCTTAAAAGGATGGGAAACAAAGCCTACAGGGCATCACGTTAATGCCTGTGATAAACAAATATTTAATTGTCCTTGATTTTAAACACAGAGTTGTCAGTTTGAGCTTGATAATCACTCCTTTAAAGTGGCATTTATGTCTCAAGGCATCAAGCTTGTGTTGACAAGTTTCTTGAAAGTTGGAAGAATAATTGAAAGATACATAATTAACTCTTGCTTAATGTTTACCTTAATGCCGTCCACTATCAACAAAAACTACAGCAAGTGATCAGAGTATCTGAGCTATTTTCTTTTGACAAATGTAGAAGACTAGATTATTTTTTAATCATTATTCTGTTTATCACAGACATCTTTTTTGACACAGTTAAATGTGTTTTATACTGAATCCACGGAGGAGTTATGTATAATTAATGGCAATATCCTCAGGGGAAAAATGAGGCTTCAATTTCAGTGGCAGCATAATCATCTTGAATTTATGGATGTAACTGTAGGGGTCTGGAATCATTAGCCAAAGTAAATGGAAAACATAATTTACAATAAAAGATATTAACCTACGTAATTTTATCTGAGATAACAAAGTCTGAAAATTTTAGCATATTGCTAAGCCACCCAGAACAGAAACACAGATACAAAGGAAAAAAGAATAAACACTGGGTCGGCTCCGGGAAGAACCCGACAAAGGAATTATACATAAGTTGAAAGAGACCTATCGAGAAAAAAAAAAGGAATACAATAAATCTGGCAAAGATTACATTCTTGGTAATTTGAATTTCAAATCACTCAAGCATACATGCTTTTTTTTTTCCTCCCAAGCATACATTCTTAAGAATAGAAAAGCCTTCAGAACTCCCCTAGCTGAGATTGGAAAATAATAGCATTAATACTAAAATATGTACATATTAAACACACTCAACTCTCAGCCACCCTACTAATGGATGAGGGCACAGAGGGCCCAAAATCAAGCAGCAAATGTCTGTCAAATGGTAACTGCGCTGACCTGTCCGGAGACGGCCACCTGCACACTCCCAGCTGTGTTCCCTGGTCAAACTGGAAATTGCCAGCCTCGACTCCCACCTGCTTTATCACTGAGCTCAGCTAATCACCAGGCCCTCTGGAGGGGAGCAGGTGAGGGCAGACAAGCAGGGCACAGCCTAAGGTGCCCCCCGAATGTTGCCACCACCTCAGGACACTAAGGAAAGGCCCTCACAATGACTTGGAAGCAATCACCGCTCTCCTTCAAAAAAGCAGTTTCCGACCCTCCATCTCCTGGCCACGATTGAATAACTGCACCTGGGATTAACCTTGAACAACTGGGAAACTGGACAACATACGGGAGACAACTGTTTTTTGGACTCTGGCCGACAGGTAGCGTGGGACTGGGACTGCAATCCCTTGAAGAGGGCCTCCCTCTAAGAGGCCATGGCTTTCTGCCTGGAGGCCTCTGCCCTGTGTGGATGAGCAAGGGGGGGTCCCACGTAAAACACAATAGTCTTACTAAGTGCAGGTGACAAAGATCTGAATCCAGGAGGGCTGAAGCTGCTGGAAGTTTGCAGGCCAGAGCTGCAGAGAGAAGGACGCCACCTAGGAAAGGAGTTCCAGAAGTCCGCATGGGCTTCTTTGGAGTCCTGGCTGGGTGCAGTGAAGTTCCACGGTTTGGGTAGAGAGAGGCTGGGGAGCTGCAACTGTACAGCTCGTGGGCTTGCACGGGGCCTGCTCAGGTTGTGACGAGGCGAGGTGGGAGTGGGGGTGTCCTCCTTGACCACCAGCAGTGTTCTACAGAACCCTGGAAAAGCCATGCTTCGGTAATGGTACTGAACTATTCCTGGAATATGAAGCTGACTTTATGTCCATCCTGAAAAGGCTGCAAAGCAAAGCCCCCAAAGGATCAAGGGCCCTTACTGCCCAGCATCCCAAAACATAGTTCTTAAAGGAAGACAGCAAAACCCACACAGACACTCAACAATGTAAAACCCACAACGTCCCAGCGTCCAAGAAAATTTTACTAACTGTGTCAGGAAGCAGGAACATGTAACATGTAACCAGAAGAAGAATCACCCAGAGAGGACCCGGAAATGATGAAGGTGGCGAGGATGAGCAGGCGAGAGCCTGAAGCGGCTCTCCTAACGGGGCTTGGCTACTTAAATGAAAACATGAACAAAGTGAGGCGAGGAATGGAAGGCGTTTTCAAAAAGTGCAGTTTCAACAGAGGAGTGGAGAGGGGTGCCAGGGACAGGGGACGGATGGGGAGCACGACACGAACGTGGTGTTTATTCCAGAAGAGGGGCTGCAAAGACAGAAAGACGGCAGCAAGGCCTATCAAAGGTTTGGATTCTTGTCTTTCCCTGGGGAAAAGAAAAAGAGAAACTACAAATGAAAGCTAAAGAGAATTGTCAGAAAGAAGGAATTGTGTGAGGCTAATGGTTCCAGGCAGCTTTGGGGAGAAAACTTTAATCTCTAAGGAGAAGAGGAATGATTTTTCCCTGAGATAATGGAAAGAAGCTGAATATAAGATAGAGACAGAAAGTTCAAGGGAATTAAGCAAGGCCTGGGTAATTAATGGAGTTTCAGTAAAGAGGAGGCAAAGTCATTTATGAGAGGCCATGGGATTGAGGAATCCAATGAGTAAAAAAAGAAAAAAGAAAAAATGAGAAGGAGGAGCCTGAATCAGAGAAAACGTAAGAAAGGAATAAAAGGACTACAAAGGGGGAGCCCCGAACAGCCCCATATCCCCAAATGCTGTGAACTGAGTGGCCACCAGAGTTGGTAAGAATGAAATAATAAAATGCGAAGGAGGAGGGTTTGAGTTCAAATATGTAAAAGGAAAATGATGTCCTGTTTATTGTAGTATATCCTGACCCCAGTGAAAACTTTCTGGGAGGATAACGTTAAGGGGTCAGGATGGTGCAGACACTGCACTGGGCGAGAAGGGTGATGCGAGGTGGGAAGAAGGGTACGGGTAGGGGCGCCCGGGGGGCTCAGCAGTTGAGGGTCCACCTTGGGCCCAGGGTGGGACCCCGGGGCCCCGGGATAGAGTCCCACATCAGGCTCCCACAGGGAACCTGCTTCTCCCTCTGTCTCTCTCTCTCTCTCTGTGTGTCTCTCGTGAATAAGTAAATAAAATCTTTTTTTTTTTAAATGAGACAAGAAAAAATAAGTAAAATAAAAATGAGACAAGAGTAGAATGGCTGTAATCTTCAGGCCATGAAACGTTACCGTGGAAAGTAGGTTCGTAAACTGGGATAATAAAAGCAAACGCAAACCTAAGTGACGCTGGGCAGCAAGACAAGCTCCAGAGCTGCTACGTTTCTGAGCTGCGTGTCGAGGTGGAAGCATCAGGCTGGGAGTCACAGGACGTGATGCTGGGTCTGGTCTCGCAGTGACTGTCTTCCTGGGCTACTTACCTCCTCTCGCCGGGTCTGGTTCCACGTCTGTCAAATGGGCATAAGGCCAGAGACGCCTACTGTGGGTGAATCTGCACAAATCAGATAAGATCATCCGCAGAAACACTGTTCCCTGCTCAGTGCTGTGAAACCCAAGACACGTGTAGGCCTTTTTGGGGTCACCCGCACAGCTCACAGTGATGCATCTTTCTCCAAGGTGCCTCCCCGTCCCGCAGGTGGATTTCCTGCATCATCCCCCCCACTGACCCTCGATGGTTGGACCAGGATCGAGCAAGCCATGCGAGGTAGGCCAATCGGATTATCCCGGGAACTCAGAATTGGGACCAAATCTATCCAATCTGAACTGATTATTTGAACAGAAGTGTAAACTGTGGAGCAATGGGTGGGTCATCTGCTGTCTGCTGAGAGCAGGGAGATGGGAAGAAAGCCTGTCTAGAGAGAGAATGAAACTGATGGGCAGCGGGGAGCAGAGATAAGAGTGAGAGAGCAAGAGAGCAAGAGAGCGAGAGAGAGAGGCCTAACACTTCGGATAGCTGCACAGTTCTGGGTTCTTCTCTCCACCTGTCTGCTTCACTGGCCTGGGATTCTATATGTAAAACACTCCTGTGTCCTAGAAATAAAATCCTTTTTTTTTTTTTGGTAAATATGGCTTGTGTGTTTTTCTGTACTTTTCAACTAAAGAATCTTAACTAAGGCAATATGGTAGGTTCGATAGTGTCTGTCCCTCGATCCTACCCAAAATTCATGTCTACCCAGAACCTCTGAATGTGACCCTTTTGGAAATAGGATCTTTGCGTATGTAGCTAAGGTGAGGTTATCCTGGATTCCAATGGCTTTTAATCCAGTGGCTGGTGGTGTTCTTATAAGAAATGCACAGAGAGGAGGCCCTAAGAAGACGAAGGTAGGCAGACATTGGTGCTGTGCTGACAGAGGCAAAGGGATGCTTGAAGCCACCAGAAGTTTGAAGAGCCAAGAAGTCTTCCTTAGATCCTTTAGAGGGAGCGTGGCTCTCGTGACACCTTGATCTTGGGCTTCTGGCTTCCCAAGCAGTGAGAGAATCCATTTGTTTTTTTTTTTTTTTTTTTAATTTACTTATGATAGTCACAGAGAGCGAGAGAGAGGCAGAGACACAGGCAGAGGGAGAAGCAGGCTCCATGCACCGGGAGCCCGACGTGGGACTCGATCCCGGGTCTCCAGGATTGCGCCCTGGGCCAAAGGCAGGTGCCAAACCGCTGCGCCACCCAGGGATCCCCATTTGTGTTGTTTTAAGCCGCCTAGCTTGTGGTGCTTCATTACAGCAGCCCTAGAAAACCAACACAAGGAGCATTATAGGACAATCCACCTCAAAACTGCTGTTTTCAGGCTGTGCTGTCATGGAAAGGGTGAGACTCTATACCAGGGAGGGACCCTTGAAGCTCTCAAGGTCTTCTGGGCCCGCAGACCCTTTCTGAGAAATAGGCCCTTCGTGGTTTGTTCTGCACAAAGTTGTTATATTTTTTATCATGTGAAACCACTGCTACTCCTCCAGCCACACCTGATTGGAACCAAACTTTCCCAGGAATGAGCTAGTCAGGAGGCCAAGAAGAGTTTGGTGTCAAACTACCGGATGGGGCTCACTCTGCGTCAGACAGTGACAAGTCAACTCAACCAGGAAATACAAACCCTAACTAAACAAAGAGTAGGCAATATCCCAATCTATGCTGAGTTTTTGATGTCTCCCCGAGCCTAGCGATACCCCTGTCTGGGAAGCTCTGTGACCAAGAAGGCTGCCACGGAGCAGAGGACACCCCGCAGTGCCTCAGGACTCCTAGCAACAAACTCCCATTATTAGAGAGTCATCTGGGCGCGCATCCTGTTTCAACTTGTTCTACTCTGCTCGGGCTTCCATAATAAAATACTATAGGCTGGGTGGCTTAAACAACAAAACTTTATTTCTAACGCTTCTGGAGGCTGGGAAACCTAAGGTCAAGGAGCTGGCCAATTCAGTTCTTGATGAGAGTTCTCTTCCTGGCTTGCAGATGGCTGCCTTCTTGCTGTGTCATCAATAGTCTCTCCTCGGTGGGTGCACAGAGGGGAGTGGGAGAGGGAGAGGGAGATCTGTCTCTTCCTCTTCTTGTAAAGCCACCGATCCAATCAGATTAGGACTCCAACCTTACGACCTCATTTAATCTTATTAACTCCTAAAAGCCCTATCTCCAAATATAATCACATTGGGGGTTAGCCTTCAACCCTTCTTCCTAATACCCTGTTAGGATCTTTTCAGCAAACAACTGGCTCATTCGTGATTCTAATGCAGGGGTTACACTGAAAGATAATCTCGGATGATTTCTGTTGCCTCACCAAGATACAACGTGCTTCTAATTACATAAATGAGAACACACACACATACATATATACACACATATGAGTATACATTTATAGTATATATATTCATAACGTCCCACATGCCAGATGTTGTGCTAAGTGGTGTATGTAATATATATATATATTTCATTTCATCCTCACAACAGTCTCATGAGGCAGGTCGTGTTATTATGTTCATTTAACAGTCTAGAAGATCAAGGCACAGGAAGGTTAAATAACTTGTCCAAGCTCATACAACTGGTATGTGCTAATCCTGGGACTCAACCCACACAATCTGGCTTCAGAGTTCATGAATTAATAAGCCATAGTCCCAGCTATGAGAGACTGCTAGTATAGTGGCTGGAGTAAGGGAAGATTGAAATCAGAAAATTATGGGCAGCGTACTCCTTTGGGTGAATCGTCTCTCGGCCTACTAGTCCCTATGGACTTTGATGGCCGTGGGGTAACTGGCCATCCCAGAGGTAAACACAACTTGCCTTGGAATAAGACGTGCATGGCTCCACGTGTTTACTTTATCTATCTCTGCACATTGGGCAAGCCATCCAGTGTATGTGGAAAGGGATGCAAGATCTTTCTCATCACATTCTGTATGTACTGAGCAAAGAGCTGGTCGCTCTCAAGTTTTGTCCCCTGGGCAGAAAAGGAAGAAGATTGTGTTCCTTCCCCTTGCTCTTACTAATCAAGTGCTCCTGTGTGCTCCAACAAGACGTTCTTAGTTGGATGAATGGATGTGTAGAGAGGCAAGAGGCCAGGACTTATGGGCTCAAGAATGTGTAAGATTTATTGGAGCTGCTGGTTAGAACACTGCTGTTTTCGTGAACTGGACCAAAATGCTCTCACACCAAGCTTGCACCAATAAAATAAATAGCCTCAGGTGTCTATCGACCTAAGAGGACCTGCCTGGAGTTGATATAATTGCCAAACCACTCACTGGGAACTTGACAGATGAGTCCTTTAGCTTTCAATTCACGATGAGAATCTGCACCAGAAAATAAGACTAATCCTTTTTAAGGAGAAATACAAATTCCTATTTTCTTAATCTTTCATTCATTCAACAAATGTTTATTGAATGCCTACTACGTGATAGGCACTGTTCTTAGAGATTGAAGTAGATCTAGCAAAACAAAGATTCGTGCCCTCATGAAACGGGTATTCTAGTGGGGAGAGATAGATAATTAGCAATAGACATCATGAATAAGTAAGTTATATAGGGTATGCTAGGTTATCAGTGGGATGGGAAAAGAATGAAGAGCAAAAATAAGAGGAATTGAAACTGTTGGGGGCTGGTTGCAATTTTAAATAGAATAGTCAGGGTAGGCCGTGTTGAGAAGGCAACACTTGAGGAAGGACTTGAAGGAGGTGAAAGGACTGGCCAAGTAGATATCTGGGGTCAGAGCACGCCAGACAAGGGAAACAGCAACACTGGAGTGCTTGGTATGTTTGAAGAATCTCGGGAAGACAGGGTGGCTGGAGCAGTGGGGTGGGGTGTGGGGGGGATTGTGGAAGTCGGGAAAGGTAACAGGAACCTGCAGACCACTGGAGCGACCTCTACTTTTACACTGTAGGATTCCTATTCTGAATGATATGGGACCCTATTAGAGGGTTTTGAGCAAGGAGTGAATTGTTCTTTCTTCTGTTGTAACCAGGTCTCCTTGACTGCTGTACCGCAAGCTGGGCATGTGAGAGCAAGAGTAGAAAGACGGAAACCAGATAGAATGCAACTTCGGTTATCAAGACAAGAGACAATGTCGGCATAAAGTAGGTCGTAATAGCAGAAGTTATGAAGAAGGAGTCAGATTTGGGGTCGCATTTGTGGGTAGAGCCAATTGGAGTTGCTACGGATTGGATATGGTGTGTAAGAAAGGAAAAAAAAACATATGAGTTAGATGAGTTAGATACCTATGACCATCAAGATGGACAAAGGCTGCAAGTTGTTGGCGGTACAGATCTGAAGGGCAGGGGGAAGAACGTCTGGGCTGGAGTTATGGATGTGGGAGTTGTTGGCCTACAGATGGGGTGCAAAGCCAAAGGCTGAATGAGATCACTAAGGAAGGGCGTGTGGATAGAGAAGAGGTCCAGGCCTGAGCCTCTGAGCGTGCCAAAGGAACAAGTTGGGGTGGGGGGGGTACGAGGACTCAGCACAGGAAGGGCATCAAGATAGAGTAGTCAGGAAAGGGGAGAAGGCTGGAGCGACGTTCTTGACCAGGTGAGAAGGGGTGTGGGCTGGTATGGGGGGCGGCTGGCCCTGGCCAGGAGCTTGGGGAGCCCTTCTGTCCTGACCCCACTCTCTGGCCCACCGAAGGCCCCTCCGTATCCGGCGCTGTCTTCACACAGTGCAGG